GGATCCTATGACCCACAGGCGTGGGTACGGATACTGGTACGAGTACGATATGAGTACACCAATACGACAAATTTTTAACAAAGTAGGGTACGGATATGGCTGGGGGACGTCAATTTTTTTTTTTTTTTTTTTTTTTTTTTTTTTTTTTTTGCGTTTCTACTACCAACCAAAGCCAACCCACACAATGACACACACACCAATGGCCACACCCACAACACTCAAGCATTGAAATAATATAATTTTTATATATAATAATAATTTATAATAATTAATTATATAATTTTTATAATTTTCGTAAATATAAATCATTTTTCACTTGAAACAATTGCTTTCATCATGCCACAGTGAGTTATCCGAACGTCCTGCAGTTTCCTTAGATCTCTAGCTATGGAAAGTGAGAACGTAGTTTGTAGTTTATGACACCAGAACACATCTACAGACGTCAGGTTGCCGAGCCATACAAGTTGGGTGGGACCCTTCCACATATTTGTCAATTCAGGCAAGAAATATAGTACCAACTCTTTCAATGCACGGAAAGCCGTGTTCGGTAGTCGGTATTCATGACATTCATGGCTAGTAATCCCTTTGAAATTATATAGATTACGAAGATACAGACACTCACAGGAAAAGCACTCTGGGGAACCCCATCTGTTGTATTGATGAGGTATTCCAATTCAGTCAAGTAGTCTAGTGTCAATTTCATTAAGCATTCAAAACCATCTTCGTCGACCAAATCACAGAGAATTTTCAAACTTACTGCAGTTGCGGTTAAAATAAGAATTTCAGTTCTCTTCAACAGCAAATCAAACCTCGTTTCAATGTCACTCAAGTTTTGACCTTGGAGATCCAACTTATTTGATAACGAATAACGAGGGTCAGGGATGCCACCAAAGTAATCGCCAACAACTATATTGAACTTTTTCACCTTCTCAATACCTCTCGGCCAGAAGTCCATATTTAATAGAACAATATCCAAAGCCGCCAAATTGGACAAGGACGCTAGTTCATTGCTCACTGAAAACTATCCCCGAAAG